AAACAAGGCAGATAAACTGGACTGGAGCAGCTCCAGATGTTTGTCCAGGTGTTTCAGCTAGTCCTGAAAAGTACTGAACTCAGTGTGGTGCCTTCCCTTGCAGCAGGACTGGGAACAGGGGAGTCAGAAATGGTCCCTGAAATGGGGGATACTAATGGACAGCCAGGGTGTCCACTGGAAGTTTAACCTGACCCTTTGTTCATTAAAGATGCTGTAGACTCGTATCAATATAGGGGATTTCTAACTTGTACTCTTCCCATTTTGTGCCTGGATTTCACTCGTGTCTATTAGAAGCAGAGGTTCTGAGTGTCCCTAGCTGTCCCCTGGCTGAGCTGTGTCACGGGGGCTGAGCTGGCCCCTGGCCCGGGGAGGGTTCCTGGAGGGTGGGCTGGGTGCAGCCGGGAGAGGGAGCACGGCCAGCAGGAGCCACAGCGGGGAATGTGCCTTCCCCTCGCGTGCCACAGACCGATTGAAGTGCCTGTGCTGGTACCTCCTCACTGCGAGTCAATTAAAAGCTGTGCTGAGCAGGGAGCACAGTCTGCTCCTGGCTCAGGAGGAGCTTTCAGAGAGGTGCCCAGCACCGTGTGCAGTGATTCCTGCAATTCTTGGACAGAAACTGGTGTGCCATGACTGACCTTCAGGTCTGGCATCCCCAGTTGGTGTCTGTAATAACCATGTTAGGAATAACGTGGTTATTACAGTGAAAAATGTTTCAATAAGTATTTGATCAGAACAGATGTAAAAAGGAAAAAACAGTAAAAAGTAAAGCCCTGCTATGAGAAGGGGGATACCAGAAAAGCTCCAAATGTAAGAACTGGTTAAAACTTGTACTGTTGTGCTCTTTTGTATTACTTAATTTCTGGTTTACAACCAGGATCAAAAAGAGGATTATTGACTGCCTCATTGATTTAGGCTGAGCACTATGTAAAGTGCATCAGGAGCAATGACAGTGCAGTGGGTCAGCTTGGGGGTGCAGCTCTTGACCATGTAACTCAGTCACCTTTTGTCTGATTGTACAAACAGACTGTATGTGCAGGCCAAAATTATTTTCTTTCATATTAGAAAGGGTTGTTTTAAAACAGTCCACTTACCAAAACATTATTTCTAATTCTTGTGTTCTGTACACAGAATCTGTATGTATGTCTTTTATATATACCTTTTTTTATATAAGTGAATTGTATGCCCCATTTATATTAATTTTTTAAAAATTGTATAGTGGTGGTGAAATACAAAGTGAAAATCAAATCTCCCCTTCCCCCACCTCTTCCCTGCAGGGTACATGGCTTTTTTTTTTTTTTTCTTCCTCTGGCTATACAGGTATTCAAATAATTTTTTAACTATAGCACTCATATTGTGTCCTGTTTTGATGCCATGTGATGCCATTTGGACATTTATCTTTCATGACGTAAAAATCCTCTCTTTATTTGGAGTCTCCCTCTGTGAGAGTTTGTCAGCTCTGCAACTGGAGCATCTTGGAAACAGCATTGATTCTTGCTGGACTTGGCATTCCTACTTTAGTTCCCAGATCTTTACCTTAGAAATTGCAGCAGGAAAGCCCAACTTTTAAAAACACCACTTCTTGATATCTTGACATCTGAGTATGTTTTGCTCAAGTGTGCTAAATACTGTATTATTTTTTCATTTGTGCTGCAGGAATAGGGAAGAATGTGCTGTGTGAGAAAGCTGCTACCTCTGTGGATGCCTTCAGGATGGTCACAGCTGCCAGGTATTACCCCAAGCTGATGAGCATCGTTGGCAACGTTCTGCGTTTCCTGCCCGCCTTTGTCAAGATGAAGCAGCTGATAGAGGAGCACTACGTGGGCAACGTCATCATCTGCGACGTGCGGGTCTACGGGGGCAGCCTGCTCAGCCACAAGTACAACTGGATCTGTGACGAGCTCATGGGAGGGGGTGGGCTGCACACCATGGGCACCTACATCATCGACCTCCTGACTCACCTCACCAGCAGGAGAGCTCAGAAGGTGCACGGTTTGCTCAAGACCTTTGTGAAGCAGAACACGGCCATCAGCGGGATCCGCCACGTCACCAGCGATGACTTCTGCGTGTTCCAGATGCTCATGAGTGACGGTGTCTGTTGCACTGTGACTCTCAACTTCAACATGCCCGGATCGTTCATCCACGAGGTCATGATCGTGGGCTCTGCCGGCCGCCTCATAGCTCGTGGCACAGACTTGTACGGGCAGAAGAACACTGCGCTCCAGGAAGAGCTGCTGTTCACAGACTCTCTGCCTGTCAACAAGGGCCTTTTGGATAAGGGCTTCAAGGACATCCCGCTGCTTTACCTGAAAGGAATGGTGTACATGGTGCAAGCCCTGCGGCAGTCTTTCCAAGAGCAGGAAGACCGTCGGACGTGGGATCATAAACCTGTGTCTATGGCAGCCTCTTTTGAAGATGGCCTGTACATGCAGAGTGTGGTAGAGGCCATCAAAAAATCCAGTAGGTCAGGTGAGTGGGAGACTGTGGAGGTGATGACTGAGGAACCAGATGCCAACCAAAACCTCTGTGAGGCACTTCAAAGAAATAACTTATGAACATTCCTATCTTGGAAAATAGGACGATTAACATTTATGGCTGTAATGTAAAAAAACCCAGTTTTTAAGATACATAGATTCTTATTTAATAGCCTGAGTTTCTTGGTATTTTTAAACATGTAAAATATGTTCTGATAGGAACAGTTCTGGTTTAAATTGTTTGAAGAGTTTTAAATGTTTCTGTTTTTTGCAAACATTTAATTTTTGTCTTTGGAGACTGGTAGGAAAACTTGAATTGCCCTTTGCACTTGCAGTAGCTGAAGCATCTCTGCCATTGCGTGGCTTGGAAATGGAACTCAACCCCCGTTGCACAGGTTGCTGATTTAACCATGAGAGCATGTAGAGCAAGATCAGGGAGTATCTGTTGTTCAGATGCCTTTTTCTTCTCTCTTGGAGACTGATTTATGTTTTAATCCTCAGTTTGTAAAATGTTAGGAAAGAGTTTAGTGATGCAACAAGTCTCTGAACTCTATAGGACAACAAGTAGAAGGAATGGATTAAAGTTAGTAACATAAGGATGAGCCTTTTGGCTTCCTGTATGTGGTAAATGTCTTTCAAATTCATTCAAACTGATGTTTTATTTAAATGATACTATAATTCTCAGTTGTTGATGTCTTGGCAGGAAAATATTCAGGAAGTCTGTGATGCATTGAGCTATTCTTCCGTATTTGTAGACATTATTCCTTCTACTCAAGAGGCTGCCTGCATCCAGCAGCTGTTTTTCCATAAGCTCTGTGCTTATGTCAGTTGTGTTTACTGCCTGGCAGCACCCCTGCCGTGCCTGTGGGGCCGGGTTCTCATTTCTGTGACTGTTACTAAATAAATGCCTCCCTGGGTCACGGGACTGCCACAGTGTCGTGGGTAACAAAGTTGTACAGCATGAACCTTTCAGGGATCTGAAAGTGGAAGGAAGGAGGTATTTCCTACCTCTTGCAGCTCTCTTAATGTGCTGGCTGGGTAACTGTCACACTACACACATCCTGATAGCTGAGAGAACAGGGACTGAACTGCCATGGGTAAATGTGCTCTTGATTTCAAACACTGGCTATTAACCCTCTGGTCCAGCCCATCTTCATGCTCTCCTGCAGCTGGTGTTCAGTGGAGAGATTTGTTGGAAAGTGATGGGGTGGAAGTTCATTCCTTTTGAGAAATGTTTCTCTCTGAGGCAGGTATGTGGAAAGGATAGTCTAATTTTACTACATTTGTTTTGTGTACTTGAAAGCTTTTTTTTTAAATTAATTTCCCACTAAATTGTAACCCTGTGTATTTATGTATATTAACATGCACGCTGCTGTTCCATAAGCTGGACCTTCCTGAAAAGTATAATGTTTTCTACAGAAATAAAAAGTTGTGTTTGTTGAGGGAATTCTCTATGCAGCTGTGTGTTTGTGTTTGATTTGGTCAAGCTAAAACCATCTTAATAAAAGTGAACAGGAGACTCATTCATTCCCCACTTATTGTAAAATTGCCAGAAGACACCAAGTAAGAAGCAAAATCCCTGCAGTGTTGATGGGACCACTTTCTTTGCTTGGTGTGTAAATTAGGTATTTACCTTTGGATATTTACTTTCCAGACTCTGACAGGAACAAGCCCGCTGCTGTGCTGTTTTAAAGGGTAGGAGTACGTGGCTGCTCTTGTGCTCTGCACATTCTCATCTCTATTGTGAGCTGTGTGAAGAAGCGCATGGTTAGATTGGATATTAGGAAAAGGTTCTTCACCCAGAAGGTGGTTGGGCACTGGAATAGTCTCCCCAGGGAAGTGGTTGTGGCCCCAAGCTTGCCAGAGTTCACGAAGAATTTAGAAAATGCTCTGGGAGGCACAGGGTGGGATTCTTGGGGTTGTCCTGTGCAGGCCAGGAGTTGTACTCAATGATCCTGCCATAGGTGTGAGCATCTAATGCCTGTGGAGTCTGTGTGCTGTGTCAAAATGGATGAGATAATGTGTCCTGAGCTCACCTGGCAGTCACCACCTTCATTCAGGTAGAAGTGCCCTGATTGTTTTCTTGCCAGTTTGGGGTCTGTTTTGAAGCTGTCCTGGAACTGAGAACTTTACTTTGTGCCTTTGTCACTAAGTTTGTATTAGGCAGAACAATCTAAAGTGCAGCTCCTTCTCTATAAAAAAGAAGCACAAAACATCTCCGGATGATTCTAGTGAAAGAAGGAGGGAGCCGAGACTGCTGGCTGAGAAGGAGCCAGGACCGCAGGATAGTCGGAGAGGTGAAAGGGCCTCTCGTGGGCTGGCTGCAGCCTGAAGCTCCTGCGCAGGCAGCGCGGGGCGGTGACCACAGGAGCGCCCGTTGGGGCGAAGCGGATCCAGCCGGGAACCCTGGATTCCCCGGTGCCATCCCTGTGTGTGTAATGCGGCTGTTGCGCACCGGGGCCGCGGGCAGCCCCGGCGGGGCCCCGGGCCGGGCCCGCCCCTCCCGGCGGAAGCGGCGTCGCCGGGAGCGGCGGGGCCGGGCCGGGCCCTCGGCTGCCGGCGGGCGGGCCCAGCCCAGCCCGGCCGGGAGCGCTTCCCCGCGGCCTCCCTCCCTCGGTGAGTCCTCTCGGGGCAGCCGCACGGGCCCGGCCCGGCCCGGGGACGGCGGGGAGCCGGGCCGGGAAGCGCCGGGCCCGGGGCAGGGGCAGCGCCCGGGGGAGGCTGCGGGCCCCGGCGCCCCGGGACTGCGCTGCTGGCAGCGCCTCCCGAGCCCCGGGAAGGGAGCCAGGGGTCCCCCTGCGGTGCCCGGTCCCCCTGCGGTGCCCGGTCCCCGGCGCTCTCCGGTCCCCCGGCGCTGTCCGGTTCCCCGGCGCTCTCCGGTCCCCCGGCGCTGTCCGGTTCCCCGGCGCTCTCCGGTCCCCCGGCGCTGTCCGGTCCCCCGGCGCTGTCCGGTTCCCCGGCGCTGTCCGGTTCCCCGGCGCTGTCCGGTCCCCCTGCGGTGCCCGGTTCCCCGGCGCTGTCCGGTCCCCCTGCGGTGCCCGGTCCCCCGGCGCTGTCCGGTCCCCCGGCGCTGCCCGGTCTCCCGGTGGTGCCGCTGTCGCTCCGCGCGGTGCCGGCTCCCCGCACGTGTCCCCCGGGGTTGATCTCCCGCGCCAGCCCGGCCGAAGGAGGTGGGGGCTGCCGCACAAGCTCCAGCCTCAGCACGGGGCTCGTCCTTGCATCCCGGAGGAATCCCACGCGTCCTCATCCGTCCTTGCCCTCCAGAGACAGGACTGGGCTGCAGCTCTGTAGTACCACAGCAGTCTCTGCTCACCTTCCAGTGCCGAGCACGGTTCTCGTTCAGCTCCTCCCTGCAGACTGCTCAAGGTGGCTTCATTCCTGAAGAGCTGTTGGTAGACACCAGCTCCCAGAAATGCAAATGCCAGTATCGCACCTGGCTGTACCTGTCCCTTTGTTTTCAGAGAGACAAAAGGAAAAATGGGTCCTTGAGACTGGCAGATGGGGAAGATCTGGTGAGATCTGCGGAAATCCGCGTGGAGAATAGTATTAAAAGGGGAATATTAATCTCTCTCACAGCAGTTAGCAAGGAGAAGGCTTAGGCAGGGACAAAAAGCACTGGGTCGGTTCACAGCACACTGACCCCTGGTCCCAATTCCCAGTTTTTTTGGGAGGAATGGTCGCAGATCCATTGGTGCTGCTTTAGTGCAGCCCTTGGGCGTGGAAGTTATCCTGATGTGACTTTCCATTTCAGCTAAAACTGTTGAGGAAGGAATCAAACATGCAAGACCAGCTGCACGGAGATTAGCCCTTTGATTTGCTGCAGATGACTTGCTCTGCTTATCACAGCTTATCACAACCGTGGGATGTTTTTTCCCATGCTTTTTGCAGAGATTGGCTCATGAAGGCAAGAAGCTGGGCTGGCATCAGCTCTGTGTGTGGTAGCAGCTTCCTGGCCAGGGACCCAAGCACAGTGAAAATGTCATCTGTGAAAAAGAGGGAATGCTTCAAAGTCAGATGCCGGGCCTCAAGGCTGTGAAATGCACCTGCCTGTGGCTTGTTTGTTCCCATGTTTTGCAGTTACCTTAACTACAATGTCAAAAACAAGCCACAAAAGGAAGCTGTGGTTCTTGCAGGCTCTGAAGGGGCTCAATTTACCAGGGGGATAAGCAGCATTTTTACCACCTGGTCAAGCTGCAGCAAAGGGCACAGGGTCGAGTAAATGGTTATTAAACTTGCAGACACTGAGAGAGAGAACTGGAACCTGCATTGCTTGGCTCCTAGGCCAGCATAAAGCCATGGTTCTGGTGGAGGGAGCAGCATACGGGGCTGAGTGAGCAGTGTTTAAGTTACTGGGTTACTCCAGCAACTGCTCTGTGTCTCCTGTAGCTGTGCAGGGTGGCTGGGAGCTGTGACTCTTCCCTAGGGAGTCTGCAGGCTGGTGAGGAGCAGGAACAGAGAGCCGTGGCACACATACATCTGTTTGCCTGGACTTATTTAGCCTGCTTCTGCAGAGCGTGCCTGAATCTCACAGCCTGTGAATGCATAAATAGTGTGTGTCTGGTGGCAGCAGGTTGGGTACTGCACTGTTGATGTTTAGGTTTCTGATGTGGTGGGGAAGCAGATGCTTTCCTGGGTGCAGGAAAGCCCCCAAGAGGGCTGACCCTGTTCCCTCATCCCTCTCCTCTGTGTTCATATGTGCTGCTGTGTTTCCCTGGTGCTTGCTCCAGTGCTTCTCTGATCCCCCTGTGGATGTAAAAATCACATTCCTTTTGGACAAAAGCTTACCTGGGCAGAAAACAAACCCAGTGAAAGAAGTGACTTGTTTGATGCAGGGGCAGTGAGTGGAATTGGCTCAGCACAGGGCTGTTGGTGCTGCAAAGCTGTCCCAAGAAATGAAGGAGGTGGGAGTGACAGCAGAGGTCATACAGCCCCTCTTGGCAGGGGTGAGCCATGAGGGTCTGTCACTCGTGTCCCCCAGTGGGCCCCTGGTGAGCAGGAGCAGAGCAGCAGCTGGAGAGGTCTGTGCCAGTGGCTGGGGCACTGCTGCTGGGGGCTTGTGTCCCTGTAGGTCCCTACGTGGACAAGATGCTCCCTATTGTAATGAGGTTGTCTGATCTTGCAAGATCCCATGCCAGAGGTGATGTGACTTGCAAATCAGGGAGTGGGTGTCATTTGCAAATTCCCTGCAGCAGGGCAGGGTGCAGTTGGGATGTGAAGGTATAAAATGAGCCTTCATCCCCCGCCTCCCATCAGCTTGCCTTTCCTCCTTCAGTCCCCCGCAGTAATTGTCTGCTCTGTTACAGGTCTTGATTTCAGCCTGTCATTTTGCGTGTAAATCACTGGGTTGGGACTCGAGTTCAGATCAAGATCAGATGTGCATTTCAAAGCCAGTAGCTGTTCGGGAGTGAGCTCATGGTGAACACTTTTTTTCTTTCTTTCTTTTTTTTTTTTCCTCTAGAATAAGAGAGGCTGTTCTGGCTTAGTTGATCCATTATCAAGGAGATTAAATAATACCAAGCCAGCATCCTTTTATCTCTGGCTGAGTCTGTGCCTGCTTTTCAGAAATAGCTTTTCCAGAGCAGCTGGCTAGAGGCTGCACATGCATACTGGTGTGCAGCAGTCAGCACTGCTTGCATTGCCTCTGCTGTTGTGTCCAGGAGATGAATGACAGCATTTTGCTAATGGGTCTCATGTCAACAGGGGTGATTTAGCAAGGAAGACTGCAGTGCATTAGTTGCTATGAGCCAGATTCACTCAGCCTTGCACTGATCGTTTATTGGTTTATAAATTAAACTGCAGATGCTGCGTCCCGTCAGTGCTGGCATGCTGAGGATCTGAAAGGGATTCTTTCCATCTAAGTTGTCTCAGAAATGTTTAAATTACTGCCTCAGGAGTCAGGGAGTGCAGGTTGTAGCCCCAGCTCTTACAGCAGTGACTCCAGCCAAGCTGCCCTGGCGCCTGTCAAAATTGTGGTGTGACTCTGATGAGGCTCTTGTGGCATCTGCTGAGAGCTCAGCAGCAGCCTGTGCCTGCTGCTGAGGCATCCTGCATGCTCATGTTCTGAGTGGGTTTGTTGTAGGTATAAAAATGCTATCCAGGAGATCTTGGTGAACAGTGTAGGGAAATTGATGCTGGCTGCTCCTGTCCCTTCCTGGTGGAAGGGTCTGTGCTTCTGTCATGGAGAGAAGAGAAGCAACAGGGACCTGTGTTGGCCAGGGCAGGGGCTTGTGGTTCTGTGGTGCTTTGAAAAGTACTTCAGAAATGAAAAACATGTTCTTCTAAGCAAGTAACTCTCTTCTGCCCAAGGCCTGCAAAACCATCTGGGCTCTTTCCCAGAAATCCAGTCTCTGCCCCACATGGTCCTGGAGGGAAATGTTTTGTCTTTTTGTAAAGTGTTTGTCCTTCTGAGGGTCAGCCCCAGCCTGCTCAGGGGTGCTGACAGCACAGGTGGATATGGCTATGTGGGGCAGCTTCCTCTGGACAAATTGTGTTTGAACCACAGGAACCATTTAGAGGGAGCCCAGGGTACAGGATAATTCAAATCTCAGGCTAAAAGTTCTCAGATGATGGCCAGCTGCCTTGTGTTTCCTGGTCACTCCTTCTGTGTCTGCATTCAATGTTTCCATATGGGAGAACAAAGCCACAAAGGATATTTTGTACTGAAGGTACCAGTGTTACAGCAACTGTGGGCATTTTCAACACTGGTTAAAACACTGACCCACAGCATGGACAGGGCTGCTGGACCCTTCACCTGCAGAGAGTCCAACTTGGGTTGGTTTCTACCTGCAGGACATCTCTGGAGCTGGGGGTGAGGTGTCAGATGAAAATCAGAAATTCCACTCTATATATGTATATTAAATGTAGCTGTTCAGTGGCTCAGTGAGCCCTGCTTATTTCTGTTCTCAGTGGTGGTTGGTTTCTGTGGCAGAGGCAGAGCAACGTGTGGCAGGATGTGTGAAGGGCCATCCAGGATTTCTGGCCCCATTCCTCCAGACCCAACGCTCTTTCCAGAGTATTACAAACGCCCCGTCTCAGGTGAGTCCTTGATGCTTGGTACAGGTTTGGGGGTTTGTGCTTTGGTGTGACACAGCTGGATGAGCTTGTCCCTTGGTGTCCTCCACAGTCTCTATTCACACTTATGAAGTGTGAATCTGTGTGGTGATCCTAAGGTAGTCTGTACAGCTGGTTGAAAGATGGGAAAGCATAAGGCAGAGGTGAAGAGGGGGTCATCGTGTTGTTTATGGGCTGTGGGTGCAGAAAACTGAGGTAAGATCATTTCCTGACAAGGTTCTCCTTTTTCTTCCCCTGCAGCTCGAGGGAGGCTGGAAGGAAATGCTCAGAAGATGTGTTTAACCTGCCTGGACCCAGTTGCCAACCCCTACCCCGCGCTGGGCAGTGCCCGCCAGGCCCAGCCAGCCCCTCGCATTCGCCCCAGCGGGCAGGACTTCCTGGAGAGGGGACAGAAAGGGACACTCAGCCTCTTGCTGCAGCTCCAGGGGATCTCCCTTGATGAGGGAATGCCAGCTAAGAGTGAGTGCAGCAAGGCACTGCTGCCTTCAGCTGCCTTTAGGCCAGGGATAAAGCATCGGGGATTTGGGGTGGATTCCCAGGATCTGCTGCCTGAGCTTCACTGGGCTGGTCACCCCATCTGCAGCTTTTGGCCTGGCAGTGGAGTCACTTGTGCTGGAGCCAGTGATGTTTTGGCTCCAGTCTCAGGTTTAAAATGGGAAGAGGGACTTGAAAAAAGGTGCAAAAATTTGGACTTCTTTATAGTCAAACTTCTATATGAATCAAACTAAACCTTGATGTATTGAGGATTTTAATGTGGTGAGTTCCTAGTTGGTGAAGCCATGCAGGATTTAGGAAGGGTGCCTGTGTATGTGGATGTGAGAACATCTTTGCAAAAGATGTTCCCTTCTGCAGGGCAGAGATTTCACCCAAAATACATTCAGAGGTCCAGGAAGGAGATAAGGTTGAGCCCTGTGTGTCATTTTAATTTATTTCATGTGCTGGCACTGCCCTGAGCTGGTGCCAGTGTGGTAGATGCCACAAATGCTGTGGCCAAACAGGGAAGGGAATGGATGAGCATCTGGTTATGTCAGCTGAGATATTCCCTGCCTTGGGGAGCCCAAGGAAGGATAATTTTGATTCAAAACCAAAATAAAACAGACCCCTAATCCATAGTCTTGGTTGTGTCCACTTGAATGTGGGACAATGGCTGACCCTGAAACCAGGAACAGGGCAAGTTCAAGGCTCTGCAGCCCTCTCTACTTCAGAAACACCCTGTGAGCTGAACTGGGAATCGACCTTGCTCTTGAGAGGATGCTGGCATGGCTTGTCTGGCACAGTCCATGCTGGGACAAGAGGAGAACAAGGAGTCTGTGAACACCAGCAGTGTGCCCTGAGTTCTGATGCTCATCTGGGCAGGGTGGGATCCTCTGGCAGAAAAGTCAGTCTCGAGTGTGTGTCTAACAGGGGCAGGATGCAGAGATGGTCTAGTCTGCAGCAGAGGGAGGGACTTGCTGGTTCTCCTGGCTGCTGAACCAGCTTTGGAAGGGATCTGTGGCTGCATCCCATGGCAGTGTCTGGGAGGTGAAGGTGTGTCTCCCCTTGCTGAGCAGGGAAAGAGGCCAAGGACTACGAGAAGGAGAATGTGAGGCGGATAAAGGAGATTCAGAAGAAGTGCAAGGAGAAGGAGCGAGCCCAAGAGCGCAGCCAGCCCAAGCCTGTGAAAGCTCTGTGGAAATCCCAGAAATACGAAAATGTGGAGTCAAAGGTGAAGGCCAAACTGCAGGTTGGTATCTGTGGAGGAGCTCTTGAACTCTCCAGGCTTGGGGTGTGGCTCAGGCATGAGGAACATGCTGGAGACAGGGGAGTCCTGGAGCCTGCAGGATTTGGGGGCATCTCAGTGCTGAAGCACAAGGGGCAGGTGTGGCAGTGGGGCTGTGAGTGAGAGTGTGTGGTTTGGGTCCAGTGGGTGATTGCTGCCATAATCCCTGTCCTGCTTCCCCCTCGTAGCCACATTTCCTGCCAGAGGATGCTCCCATCTGGCTTTTCAGCGTCCCCATGTTTGGGACAGCACTTCTCTGAGGTTAGTGCCAAAAGGCTGTGGTGTTTTACCTCAGGGCTTGTGGTTCTCAGGTTCTCTGCAGGCTGCATTGAGCCTCAGTGCAGCTATTCCCACCCTGTGGATACACAGTGGGTGGTGTGTTCCCTGCCTTCTTCCCCAGGTGAACAACCACTGCTGGGGGGGCCCACAGACATCTCCAGGCAGTCAGGGCTGAGGCCTCATAGATCAGCACAGCCTGTGAGAGTGCTGAGTTGGAGCCTTTAAGTTCCTCCTCATCTTTGCATTGCTTCTCTTTCATCTGTGGCCAGCTTTTGATGTTAAAATGACGTGTATTGATAACAACTGTAAAAATTGGCAAGATGATTCCCAAGCCAGTGGTTCCAACTGCTGGTGTGTCACCAACCTCTTTGGTATCTGTGACCCTTCCACACATGGGAGCAAACCCACGAGCACTTCAAGAACACAAGCCTACGCTCTTGTTTGACAAATCCTCCGGGTTAGAGGAAGATTGAGCTCATTTCTTCCTTTGTTTTGGGGAAAGGGGGTGGTCTCTGCGCTGGCAGGTTCTGCGTGGTGCATTACTTGTGCTCTGTGTATTCCTCCAGAGAGGCCCTGGCACTGACTCATGATGCTTTAACTGTTGCTGCGGCTCTCCTGGAGCTGAGGTGTTCCCTGTGAAGGATCTCCATCTTCAGTGCTACTGCTGCTCAGAGTTTCAGTTGATTCTGCTGCATCTTGATGACTAATGCAGAGTCTTTTCTCTGTCATTTGTCTCTGAGGCTGTTAGCTGTAGCAGTTGTCTTGGGAAAGGTTCTGGCAGTCCCAGTGGTCTGTGGAGGGAGATGGGGCAAGCTGTGCTCTGTGCTCCTGAGGTCACAGACTCAAACACTTTGAGCTACCTGTGCTAGGTAAAGGCAATTCTCATTAACATACCAGAGAGAGCCTGATCTCCTGTTGAAACAAGACTGGTCATCTTTGGAGCATGAACAGTCTGGGCAGTGCTGAGGGCATCCTGCTCCTCACACCAAACCCACAATGTGGCTGCCCAGTCCCACCATCTGTCTGTAGCTCTGCCCAGCTGAATGGGCCAGGCAAGAAGGAATCTTGCCCAGGGGGCTGCAGTTCAGCTGAGACCTTGGGTGTTTGTAAAGATCTGGGGGTGGCTCTGTGCAGTTCCCATCACTCCCAAGGGCAGAGCAGTGTCCCAGCTGCATTTTTCATAAGGTCACCCACTTGCCACAGTGTGAACTTTCAGTTTTCAGGGTTTGTTTGCAAGAAGACCGTCTGAGATACTCCCAGACCACCTGATAGACATCAAGTATTGTCAGCCTGTGCCACAGCCTTTGAAGATGCCCCTCAGATGCAATTCCAGCAGAGTCCTTCTCTCTCTGCTCCTTTTTTTTTCTAGAGTGATATAATCACAGATTTGAGGTGCTGAGCAGGGCAGCACCTCAGCAGGCAGCCTCATGCCTACCTGCTTGATCCAAATGTGTGGAGAGTTCCCCCCTGTTTTTAGCTGTTCATTCAATGGCCAGGCCTGGATCTGTTGCTGTTTGTTGGGCTTGGCTGGCTGACTACAGATTCTCTTCCCCAAGAACTTCTGCCAGGCCGTGGCAGGAAGCGTGGGCTGTCGTGTGCCTGCTGGAAACCTGTGGCTGAGCTCGTGGCTCACCACCCAAACTTGGCTGAGAGGGCTTTTCTTTGCCCCAGCCTCCCTGCACTAGTGCATCTTTTCTTGCCTTTCCCAGGAGACCTCCCCACCTCCCAATCCCGAGGCTGTGAATTTCCTGAGGGCGTATTCCCGCTGTGGCTCTGGGGTCAGGCCCTGCCGACCACTGTCCCCAAGGCCTGTCAGAGCAAAAGCAGGAGCAGACACAGAGGCACAGGCTGCTGAAACCAAGGTGAGTTACATGCGAACTGCATCCATCCCAGGGATTCCTGGCACTGATCCATTGCTCCTGCTTTGAGCTCTTCATGTCTTCTGAAGTGTTGAGTCAGATGTGCTGCATGAGTAGGGAGATCTATAAATACTGTTCCTGGCTGAGGGGAAGGAACAGGGTCTTGGTCACTGGGGTGGTGAGCTGGATATTCAGGGACTGTTAATTCTAGCTTCATTCTCACTCATAGTTATGGAGATCATGAAGTTCCCTGTGAAAATTCCACCTCCTCCTGCCAGCAGTCTCAAATCTGCTCTTCCAAGGGCTTTGCAAGAGGTCTTGGGGTTTTGGAGGCTGTTCCCACTGTAATCAAAGGAACTGTGGCTTCTGGATGTTAGATAAAAATTTGGAAAATGAGTGTGTGTTTTAGTAAGGAGAGTAAAATCAGCATTAGTAGTTAAACCTTTCAAGTAGTCTGTTTGGGAGCTCCTAAACAGCTCCATGACTCATGTCCTTTTCCCTTGGCAAGTGTGAGATTGTCAGTTTGTTGTCTCCTAAATGCCATGAATGACTTAATTAAACAGGACATTATCTACAAAGGCGGAAGACCAGGGAAATCTTAAATGCAAACACAGCCACCTTCTCCACTGTTTTGTCCAGCAGAGGAGCTGTGGTGGAGGTGCTGTCTCTGGGGAAGTGCCCCAAGGATCAGCAAAGTTCCTGCTCTGCCAGGGGTTCTATTCTATTTCTTGGCCCGCTGAGCACCCAACCTGTTTTTCCTCTGCCCTCCAAATGCACCAGTAGGAGCCATGGGGACTACATCAAGCCTGGTTTTTTTTCTGTCCTTCTGGCTTTTAAGGTATGTGGTCATCTCAGGTACCTTAAAGAGGCCAGGATTAGGCTTGGCTTTTGGTGCCTGCCTCCCCAAACCATGGCCACAGCTCCTGCCTGTCTGTGCCTGCACACTGGGACAGGCTGTGCCTGTCCTGCTGTCATACAATTCAGTGTCTTGTGTGATGCATTTTTGCTTTTCCCCTCATGTGGACAGTGGCAGCTGGCTGTGTGCATGTGCCCAGCCTGCCCCTGATGCCTCTCTCTGTTTTTGCAGGTGCAGGTGGAGGGCAGGAGCGTTGACTTCATCAGGCACAACGCCTGCGCTGCCAAGCGGGCCCCGCTGCGCCGCTCCCAGTCCCTGCAGGCGCTGGCCCAGCTGCTGCAGCAGAGGCAGCGGGAGCAGGAGGAATACAACGCCAAGCAAAAGGGCCACGTCCCGCAGTAGTATGTGTGCCCCTCTCTCTCCACGAGGCTGGGACAGCCTTGATGCACCCCTCAGCTTCTGCCCAGAGAGATGGGCTGGGCACAGAGGTGCTCCTGCAAAGTGCAGCAGTGCCATTTTCTGTGAGCTGGGGAGTAAACGCTGTCCCCTCTGCTTTCTTGGCTTAATCAGCTTCCCATGCCCAGTGTGACAGGACTCAGAGGCAGTTTTGTCTCCTCCTCCCTTGCTGTTGTACAATGATGCTGGTATGGGGAAGCTCTTTGTGCCTTGAGGAATGTGCTCCTGCCCCTTTGTAAGCTTTGTTCCATGTGATGTAGCTTTGGCATGAAGAGGTCTGGTTTTGGAGAGGCAGGGAGCTCGCTGTGCCTCACAGGTGTTCATCCTGCCTTGGGTCTGGGTTCTGAGGAACATGTAGCTAGTGCTGTGCATTTTGAGGTTCTGCATGGGAAACAGACCCTGTCCTAGGACTGACTTTGGTGCCAGTCCTCTGCCAGCATCCCTAGCCATGAGCTGCTGTCTGACCACTCTGCCATTGACCCACAGATGGTTTGGTGAGGACACAGTGAGCCAGAAATGAGGAACAGCAGCCCTTGTCTCCAAGGAGCACATGTTGGCCTGAGTGCATCTCTCCAGCAGCCCTTTGTGGGTGTGGAGCATATTTGCTGGTCCTCATATGTGATTTAAACACAGTATGTCTCCCACCATGAGGATGTGTGCCAGCACGTGGCTCCCTGGGTTCTCAGCCAGTGACATGGAAGCCGGCAGGGTTTGAAGGGCAGATTCCTGGCCTCTGCCTGTGCCAGATGTGCTGACAGCTGCTCTCCTTTGCCCCCAGCCTGCTGGAGAGGAAGGAGCTGTGGCGCAAGCAGACGGAGGAGCGGCTGCGGAACCTGCCAGACCCCGACACGCCGCCCGGGCACACCATGATGCCCGAGGGCCAGCGCCTGGAGACCCTCGGCAGCCTGAAGCAGAGTAAGAGGGGAAGAAACAGCGAATCCAGCTCAGAAAAACAAACAGTCCTAGGCAGGATAAGGGAGAAGAAACACAGGGACGTATTCCTGCCACTTGGAGAGTTGCCTGGATTAAGGCATATATAGGCAGGATGTGAGCTGTGTGCATGGAAAGAGGAATCAGTGTCCTGCAGGTTACAGGACTGGCTCTCTGGAGCACACTTGTCCAGTGGACTTGATGTTGGGGTTGCTTTTGCTTCTAAAATCTTAGAAAGATTTTGGCTGGAAGGGAGCTTCAGAGGTCTCTAGTCCAGTCCTTGGTTCTCAAAGCTGGAACAGGTCCCTCAGGTCTTCATCCAGCTGAGCTTTAAATAGAAGGATTCTAGGTCCTTGTTCCAGTGCTGCCATTGAGTTCATAGCACTAGAAAAGGGGTGGATTTCTTTGCTTTTCAACTTGCACAAGTTTTTTTTTTTTCCTCTTTTTACAGGCCAAGAGCAGCTGATAAAGGACCTGGTTCTGCTGCCAATGCGTGGAGACAGTCTCAAGATGCAGAAGAGGCGAGTAGAGCTCGAGAGGAAGCTCTCCCAGATAGAAGAGGCAATCAAAATTTTCTCAAGGCCAAAAGTTTTCATCAAGTTGGACTCCTGAGCTGGTGGGGCCAGGTGTGCTGTGCTGCTCTGCCTGAACCTCCTTTGTTGCTGGGCAGGAATGGACATCACTTTTTGGGAGGGAAGGAGAGGAAGCCAAGTTCCAGACCCTGGGCCCGTGCAGGTGTTGATAACAGTGTCCATCTCTTGCTGGCATCTCTTGCTCACCTTTCAGTGCTGTGTCTTGTCCACAGAAAAGGGAGGGAGATGCTCTAATAAAGGCTCTGCTCAGTGGTCTGGGGAACAGTTGTCTCTGCTGCTTGACTTCTCACAGATCAGCTCTCTGCTCTCTGTGGCATCACCTCTTACTTTCCCTTTTTTTCCTACTTCTAGAAACTGGTAGGAGGTCTCTTGTGCTGCTGCCTGTGCTATTCCTTGTCATTCTCCTTCTCCTGAGCTGGACCATGGTCATGTCTCATCCTGATCCCCTGGGAGCTCAGGGGACAGCTTGGGGATAAGAAAGAGGCACAGAGCTTCAGTGTTTTCTGCCCAGAGAAGGGCTGAGCTGTCAGGAGGGTCTGGAGAATCCTATGTTGTCTGGGGCAGGAAATACTCCAATAAATCATCATTTCCATCTTGCAGTGTGTGTGCAGCTCCCAGTGGGGCCAGCAGGGCCTGAGGAATGGTGTGGGGCAGCAGAAGCCATCAGCTTTGGCACAGTGCAGGCAGGATGAGCTGTGGTTTCATAGGGCTGGGACATGGTGGTGGGACATGGACTGGAGAATGTGCAAAATCCTGCTGGATCTCAGTCCACAGGCTGGCAGGACAGGGCTGGAAGGTGCCATCACAAAGGTGAGCTCACTGCTGCCCTACCTTCAGATGCCATGTAGGAACCTGATCTGACCTTTGCAGGGATCTTGCTGCAGGTGGCTGCAGGGCTCGGTGCATCTCCTGCTCAGCAGAGACATGGTGCCACCACAGCTTGGAGCCATATCCAACTTAATTAGGAGAATCTCCAAGGAGGAGCTTGCCCCCATCACCTTGCTGGAGCTCTGTCTCCACACAGTGCTGGCCTCAGGGGAAACACATTTTCCCCTGAAATCCCATCAAGTTTTCCCTTCTTGCAGCTTGTGCTGTTGCTCCATTTGCTACAGAGGCTGGGGATACTGTGTGTGGATCCCCCAAGCAGCTGGGGATTTTTTTGCAGGGGTTGCTCCATCCTGGGCAGGATTTTGTGGGGTGGGGATACTGTGGAGTATTCTAGCCCTGCTTGTGCCACCTGGCACACTGCAGTGCCCTGGGATGTCAGGGCTGACACCGCTGCCAAGGGGTGGGGAATATTTTGGCACTCGAGGGCTGGAGGAGGTGAGATGCCAACTGGAAAATCACCCCGTGTGCCCCTGGGGCCACCTCAGGGCAAACCCACAGCCAGGCTGAGCCGGCTGGATCAGAGTGACTGGGGGCCATGGGCACAGCCCCTGGGCACCTCCCTGCCCACAACAAGCCTGGGCTAACCAGCCCTGCTGCCAGATCTGCTCTCTGCTCTGTCTGGGCCCTGGCTGTGTGCCATGAGTGTCCTCAGCCCTTGCTGCACTCCCAGCCTGCCCTGGCCTAAGGCTCTGAACGGAGAGTTGGTGCTGGCTTTTCAGACCCTGAGAGCTGCAGGTCTTGCTCCTTGCCAGTCCCACCACAAGCCCTTGGCAGCAGTGAGTGCCACCATCAGCTGGGCACTTTCAGGAGAGGGACTGAGGGTGCTGGGAGCCCCAGAACATCAGGGACAGGTGTGGACCCCCATGCCCTGAGCTTGGGGCTGAAGAAGGAGGATGGGGCTGCACCATCCCCAGCAGCGTTTACAGGGCTGAGTGACAGCCAAGGTGCTGCTGCCAGACCAGGTGTCCCCTGCATTACTGAGGGCCCTGCAACGGGGACATGGTGGGAATAGGGGAACAAAGCAAGGCTGACTGCATCAGGCCATCAGGCCATGCAGCTGCCCAAAACAGCCTGGACATGCATCCTGGAACAGGCACAATGCATCTCAGTGGAGTCACCCAGCACAGCAGCAAAGTCACAAGGTGTGCTAAGGTCAAGGCCACAGCCCCCAGGCACTGCCTTCCATGCACGGGGCTGGGGTACCCACCCGCTGTCCCCCTCCTCCCTGCAGTGACATGAACCAGGGACAACCATGCTGCTTTCTACAAAAAGTTTTACTGTCCATTGCAATATATTAATGATGCATATTTCAATAAAACAATTAAAAACCCCCACTTGCTTGGAAGAGGAGGCAAGGGTGCTCAGAGGGGCAGTGCCCAGCTTGAGTGGATCCCACAGTGGGACTCCTGGGGTCACAGGGGGTGGGAGAGGGCAGAGGGCAGCCCCTCTCCACCCCTGCCCGCCGGCCACATCATCACCCTGGTGTCCACATCCAGCCCAGATCAGCGGAAACCCGGCCGGCCACCGAGTGGCACAGGCCCCTGCAGCTATAGGGTGAGGAGGGTGCCATCCTCCCGTCCGCTGCCCCTGCCAGGGCTGCCGTCGTGGCTGCCGAGGGACTGCAGGGAGCCCCGCGAGCTGTGCGGGGACAGGCTCCGCTGGAGGGGTCCGTCGGCGGGGCCGCCGTTGGGGCAGCCCCCGGGGGTGTAGTGGGACGCGCTGTCGCTCTCGATGACCAGGTCGCCCTCCTCGTCGCTCTCGGCCGTGCTGTAGTTGCTCAGGTACTGCGAGGCCGGGCTGGGGGTCTGCTGGCTGGGGGTGCTGTCCGTGGACATGCCGGAGCTGCCCGAGGCCTTGCTGCTGCGGATGACGTTGTTGCGCTGGTTGGCCGGCTTGACGGTGATGATGAGGTTGTGGCTGTTGGCCACCATCATGTCCGTCACTTGGTCCAGGGACTTGCCGGCCACGTCGATGCCGTTCACCTCCAGGATCTCGTCGCTCACCGCCAGCAGCCCCGTGCTCTCAGCCAAGCCGCCCTTCACCAGGCGGGAGATGAAGATGCCGGGCACCTTCTCGACGCCCTGCGGGGCCACGCGCACGCTGACGCCGTCGCGGATGTAGAAGCCCAGCGGTTTGTCGGAGCCGTGCTTGTGGAGCCGCACGCGCCGGTGCGTCTCGGGCAGGATGTCCACGTCGATGATGGAGGAGATCTGGCGGAAGTCCTGGGGCATCCCGATGAGGAGGTGAGGCTTGGCCCGGTAGTGTGCTGGGCGCAGCAGCCCTTTCTTCTTCCGCTGCAAGGAGTTGGAGGCGAAGACGCTGGCATCAGACTCTGCTGTAGGGAGCGAGGGAGGACACGCGTCAGGCGCTGCAGCTGCCGGGGATGTGAGCCCGTGCCCTTGGCCCCAGGTGCTGGGGCCCTCAGCAGGAGGGCCCTGCTCACAGGTCTCACCGGCTTTTCCTCCCCTGATCATCAGCCTGGCTTTCCCTGCAGCCTGTCTCCGCTGGGGCCCATCTCCTGGGATTACCCAGCGTACACAGGCACACAGGCCGGGATTAGTGGGATCGAGGCAGTGATTCAGCCTTAATCACACTTTAAGCCAAACTCTGCAGTTTAACACTAGAGCTGCCAGCCCTGATGGCCTGGGAGCTGCAGCCATGCCCCAGTTTGGGTTTGGGGAGCGAGGACCCCCCCCACATAAGTGTGTTGTGGTGGCAACCAACTCCCTTAGGGCGAGTCCAACCCCAGGAGACAGCACCAGAGTCCTCTTCCCCACCAGAGCAGGGCTATCGCTGGCATGGGTTGGTGATAGCCACCACTATGTCCTGCAGAACTCTGGCATTCCCAAGGACAGAGACTCCCCACCTCCTGGAAATTCATCCCAGGGCTGCAGCATCCTCAGGGCCCCTGAATATCCCAGACTGTGATTTGTGCCCATGTCTTATTGCACCATCAGGCACCTTCATCCAGGGTTTGACTCCCTCCTTCTGGACCATGGCCTGGGGCTGCTCTGTGGGGCCCAACTCCAACCCATCACTCTTGGCCTCCTCATCCACCAGGTGCTGGGGAGTAGCCCCTGGTTCCTCTCTGGTTTCTCCCCAACTCTTTCCATGGGGGAGCCTAGATCTAGATGTTCCATGGTCAGCACATTCCACACAGTGACCCCCACCAGCATCTGGACCCTGCTCCAGCTGCAGGGCTGCTAGGGATGTCCCCAAGCCCAGGGGACATGGGATTTCTCCCGAGCCAAGCCAGCCTGCCAGGGCTCCTGGTTTATAAATATCTTCCTGCACACACAGCCTTGGCATATTTTTAGCTTGGGGAAGGGTGGCGGAGGCTTTCCCACAGCTATTTCAGCACACAGCTCCTCTCCAAGGGGCGCAGAGTGGCTGGGCCAGGCAGGTCCAGCACGCCAGGGATGAGCCCCATGGTGGCCCTGGCAATGTCCCACACTTTCCCCTGCCCTTCCCACGAGCCTTGACCCAGCCAAGGAGGGTCAGCATTGTTGTCCCAGCCAGGCTGCCCTGCAGGGATGGCTTCACCCAAGGGGGTGATGGTACAGAGGGGAGCCTAGCTGCTGCCTTTGCTTTTTGCTCTGCTGTGGCAGGACTGGCTGCTGTGGAGCCCACTGACAAGAGCACACTTGTGTGTGTGCACAGCTCCCTGCACCCCGTGGTGTGAGAGGCTCTGCAGCCACATTCCTCAGCGACCCAGACCGGTTCAACGACAGCCCAGCCTCGGGATGACCTGGATCCATTTTAAATTAGCTGTGATTCACCCAGGACTTGCTCCTGGACTCTCTGCTCACCTCCCTGTGGTGCTGCCAGCCCCATGGCCCCTCTCCTGTGGGCACAACCGGGTGCTGGGGCTCCCTGGTGCTGCTTGTTCACCTTCCTTATCATGCTGCCCATGGAGCCAGGCTCTGCCTGCTTCTTCTCCACACTGTGCTGTCCTGGCACAGTCAGCTGTGTGCCCTCACAGGCTTTTCCATCAGCCCACAGGGCAGCTCTTGGGAGCAGGAGTGATGGTCCTACTGCAGTCTTGGCACACTCACCCCTGCACTGGCTCTCCATGTCACAGCCTGGGTCCAAGCACTGGGCAAGGAACAGGGGATGGTTTGGTGCTGGCAGAGACATCCCCTGAGTGCATCACCAGCTCCAGCAGCCTGGATCACTGCTGCCAGCCCCCACACCATGTGGCCACAGGGGAATACACACGTCCAGAGCATCCCACAACACCCTGATGTAAAAGCCCAGGAAAACTGACACAGCAGCCAGGGCTGGCCACCAGCATCACTTCTCGCCCAGAGACTTCATACCACTAACATGAGCTGGAAACACAGTCTCACTCTGGATGCTTCTGGATGCTGTGCTGACCCTGTGGCTCTGGGTCAGGCTCTGTCTCTGTGAACTGCTGACCGATGGGGCTATGAAAGAGAAAACCTCAGTGCTACTAAAGTGAGTGGAAGGGGATGGGCTGGTTTTCCCTGCAAACAGGAGAAATACTCGGAGTGTTTGTCACTTGGAGCTTTTCATCCTCACCAGGACCCTGCTATGAGGATACTATCAGGTGTACCTGTGCAAGGAAGTAGTTCCCTGGGAATATGCCACTAAGGTAAGGGCAAGCCCCTGGTCTGCCAGGGAGGCACCAAGCCTCTTCCCAACACCAAAAATCCAGCAGCACCTGGCACCCTGAGAGGTCTGCCAAAATGATGGCTCAATTCCTGCCTCCTCAGGGCAGGAGGCTGGATGGGGCTGCTGGCACAGTGCTCACGGGAGTAACACGGGTGTTATCTGGGAGCCCACACAAGCTTGGCTGGAAAACACGACTTCAAAGGGGTGAATTGCAAGGATCTGCCTTTGCCCGCCAGGTCGCATGGGGCTGGGCTGAGGCAGGTGCCCTCAGCTGCCAGGGAGAGCCTGTGTGGTTGCCACAGCCCTGGCAGGGTTCTGGCAGCCTCCGAGTGCCACCATCTCCACATCCATCCACTGGATGTGGCTGGAGGGTATGTGACCAGCCATGCCCCTGGTATGGAGGGCATGTGACCAGCCTGCCGCTGGCACAGTCCAAAGGTGGAACCAGCAGCACTGCGGGTTGTGGCTCATCTCTCTTGGTAGGACACATCCAGTGCCCTGCTTACCCTTCTTCTGGATGATGACCCTGAGGAGGGGGTTGGCAGAGGACAGGGCTTTGTGGTAGTTGTCGTCGTTGTTGATGGGCAGGAGGTCGCCGTGGATGTCTGTGTAGCCCAGCAGCACGTCCACCCGCGGGATCTGGTGCACCGTCTGCAGCAGCTGGTAGAAGTCCTGGAAGCTGCCGGCGCCGGAGCGCTTCATGGCAAAGCGGCGAAATTCAGCATCAAACTGCAGAGGAGGACGAGGAAGAGGAGGAAGAGGAGGAAGAGGAGGAAGAGGGTGACTCCGGGCAGGGCTGGCCCCGGTCGGCAGGACTGATGCAGGCAGGGCACCACACAGAGCTGCCCCAGGGCAGGCAGAGCCAGTCAGGAGGAGCCCGTCCCAAAGACAAAGTAAAAGGAGGGAAGCCGTTTTTCTGCCCAAACACTGAAGCCATGGGGCAGAAAGATGGCCCCGCGGCAGAGGAAGGACCCTCTGGCCGTACCACCAGCCGTGGCAGACTCCGCGCTGCCGGGAGGCCCTTCCCTGCGACACGGGCGCTGCCGTAGCACCTGGTGAGCAACAGCGCTAATTAATGCCTCCTTCCGTCACGACGAACGGGAAGCCAATTAAGAACAGGCTGAGGAGCGCTGCGAGGATCGCGCTGCCCGCGGGGGTCACACCCCAGCTGTCGGGGCAGGCGGTGGCCACCACGTCCTGGGAAGGAGGACACTCTGCAGCCCGCCGGGGGTCCCGAGCAGGCAGTGGCACAGCTGGGCGAGTGCACAGCTGGATAAGGGTGCAGAAAGGGAGTGCACGCATCTGGATGAGCGCAGGGGTGGGTGGATGGGCACAGGTGGTCAGTGGTGCGTATCTGGGTGACCGCACACATCTGGGCAAGGGTGTGCCAGGTGAGCACGTATCTGGATGAGCAGACACGTCTGCGGGAGACCACAGCTGGGCGAGCGCACAGTCATGCAGGTGTGCACATCTGGATGCGCGACAGGGGCTCGTCCCTTGCTGGGGGCGCACATCTGGCTGATGGCATAGCCGGGGATGAGCATGCCTTGGCGAGCACGCACATCTGGGTGAGTGTACATCTGGGCGAGGTGCGTCCCCGGGGTGACCGCACACCCCGCACAGCCGCACCGGCGGGGCCAGCCCGCACGCCGGGGCTGCCGGAACGGCGCACCGGCGCCCTGCGCATCTGGCGAGCGCTCCGCCGCCGCGTTCCCACGGCGGCGCCGAGCGAGCCCGCGGCCCGGCAGAGCCCACGGTGGCGGGACGCCGCGGCCGCCGGGCCGGGCTGCGCTCGGGGAGGCTCCGGGCAGCGCCGCCGCAGCGCAGGGAGCGGACAGCCCGCACGGCCTGGCTCCCGCGCCGCTCCGTGCTGCGCGGTGCCACCCCACGTGTGCTGCCCGACGCGGGGGCGACGCGCTCGGTCGTGACCCGGCGGAACCGGCACGGGCATCGGCACCGGCATCACCGGCCCCGTCCCCGGCGGGCGCTTACCTTGCTCTTGACCTCGATGACGGGCTCGGCGGAGCGCGCCGGCGTGCGGTGGTGCTTGGCCATGGTGCGGGCCGGGCCGGGCCGCGGGGCCGCGCCGCCACCGCCGCTCCCGCGGCCACGGGGGATTTTCACCGGCCATGACGTCACCGGCGGGCAGGCCGGGCGCCGCCGCGCCATTGGCCCAGGCGGGGCGCGGGGCGGGGCCGCCCGGCTGCTGACAACGTCGCCGTGGAAACGGGGGTGGGACGGGAGGGCGGCAGGACCCCCGTCCTCATCCCTGTCCCCATCTCCGTCCCCATCCCACGTCAGACCCGTCTACCCCAGCACGGCTCTGCTCCCCGTCGGGCTGCCGCCGCGCCGGGACGGCACCGGGCACCGCGCCGGTAACCTCGGGCATCCCATCGCTGTCAGGAACCTCATTAGCGACACATTAAACCCAGCAGCGGCTCCTCTCTGGGGACACCGAGCATCCGCACGGAATTCCCGCTAGTGTCACCGGTGAAAGCCTCGGCCCTGCCCGGGAATATCCCAGCGTTTCCCCGTGCTTGCCTTCCCATGCCGCCGGTTTGGTGGCCTTTGGCAAGAGGCAACCCTGGTAGCAGGGGATGTTTTCCAGGTGTGTCCCTCATTCCCCGCCTTCTGGTTCGTTCTGCCTTTTCTCCCTTGTCTGACAGGGAAGTTTCATGCTGCCCCAGAGCAGTGTGAGCCAGGGAAGGTTCATTGTTTTGGGGATGATTTGCTTTACTGAGCAGTGGAGCAGCTGAGTGAGTGGAGGGAAACCGACCAAGTTCACCGGCAGTGTGGCAAAGCCTCGCCGTGCCCGTTCCAGCACCAGGCTGCCAGGACGTGCACCCAGAGCACATCTCGGTGCTGCCAGGCTGTGCCCACAGGTGATGCCCGTGGGATGTGTCTGGCAGAACTGGCTCTGCTTGGGCACAGAAACTCCCAGGGACAGCCAGAGAACCCCTTCCCTGCAGACCCTGCTGCAGTGCAGCTCTGCCAGCGATGCCAGAGAACACTGTGAGCTCCCTCCTTCCAGCACCAGGGTCACCAGCCCCAGTACCTGAACAAAACCAGACTCTTGTTCATAGACTCTGAGGAATTTTGGAGCCAGAGGGGCCATGACAGCAGCACCATGAAGCAGTTTTTAAAGCCAAACACCCAATGAGTACAGTGCTTCTGGCAATAAACATATCGAACTAAGCCCAGAGAATCAGCTTGGCTTGTCTGGATTCTGCTGCCCTTTGATCCTTGCCCTATCCTGGCCCAGGGAGCAACTTTTGGTCAGGACAACATTGCATAACACCCTGGCATTCCTACAGCACAAGGCCTGTGCTGGCTGCTCTGAGGCTCCTGGCAGGCTCGTCCCTTGTGTCACTGTGCCTGGCTGAGCAAAGGAGCATGCCAGGCTGCGAGACTGTGGGGCATCTCCTCATGTGCTGGCAAATTCTCCTCTGGCTGTTCCTGCTGTGCCAAGAGATTGCCATGCCATGAAAACCAGCCTGACCACAAACAGAGCTGTAAACTCATCAGCAACACCCCGCTCAGCCCCCCCAGTTCTGTTTGTTTTTTTTTTAAACAGAGTAATTGTGTTGCGCTCAGAGAGATAATCCTGATTTACATTGTGGTTAATATTTACGCAGGTGACAAAAGCAGCTTGCAGCCCTTCATCTCCAATTTTGGTAAATTGGAGTTAATTGTTGAGCAGGACAGCAGGTGATGTGCTGGTCACACCTTCTGCTTTGTGCTGTGGCCCCTTATCTGCTGCCACAGAGTGAGCTAAGCTAAGCAGACAGGATCAGGGCAAGTGTTCATTCTGCCTCAGTCCCAGGAGCTCTGAATCAGCCAGCATGTGCTACCTGATGTCCAGATGTGTCCACTGACTCCAGATCCACCAGTTCTTGGCTGCTGTGGGTGAGGGCAGTGAGGACCTGGCTCTCTGGGGGGTCCAGCACCCCCAGACATGGAAGGGGGCTGCTGAGGTTTAGCACTCAGGTGCCTTAGGAGGTTGTTCCTCCAGCTCCTGCTCCAAGCCAGGTGAGTGCTGGACTCAGGTAAGTTTGTCCAGTGAGCAGGCATTTTCCCCAGCAATGGCTCAGACAAGGAATGAGCAGAAAGCAGTTCAGTTGAGTTCTGCCTCTCTTGTCTGTGATGAAGGAGAAGCACAGGAGCCTGAGCTTGAGGCAGGATCAGCACTGTGGCTACAGCCGTGCAGCTGGTCCACGGGCCAGCAACAGCACAGGGAGTCCCAGATAAAACACACACAGTCCAAGATCCTGGTTTCACTCCAACACCTGCGCAGCCTTACCCTGTCCCTGCCACCCACGGGAACTCACTTGGTTCTCTGAACAAGGCTGCAGCCAAGCGAGCAGCAAAGTCACCTTGACTTTGGCAATGGCAAGGGTGGCCCTGGACACTGTGTTTGCCTTTCCCCAGGATGGGGACCACGATCTGTGTTGATGGAGCAAGAGCAGCAAATAGCTCTGGCAGTGTCTCCTTGGGTTGGTGGGACACGGAGCAGAAGTCAGGGAGGCAAAGCTCACCTGGGCATTGAGCTGTCCCAGGGACAGCCAGGACAGAGCAGCAGGAGTGCAGCCCCAGTGCTCGCTGTGGGATGTGGATGCAGGGCAGGAATGGGCTCCGATGGAATTCTCCATCCTCACGAGGCCGTACCCTGGCAGCTGCGGAGGGTTCAGCCCACCAGAGCCAGGCTCAGCTCACTTCTGGGCGATTTTGTTGCGTCGGTCCCACGGCAGCGCTGCCCTTGGGCTCGGCTCTGCCCCGGGCAGCCGCGGGGCGATGGCAGAGTGGCTTTCCTAGTTGCAAAATCCAGTCTTGGCTGCAGACTCATCCGTGCCTTTGGGCAACAGGTCTGGCTGCCAAGGAACACTATGAGCAGCTCCTGAAACACGCAGAGTAAACGCCTGGTGCCGAGATAAACCCGACGTCTCACCTTCCTGCAGCTTCGTTCGGAAGGACGCGAAAACCCCCTCCTGGCGCACCAGGATCATTACCACGGGCTTTTAACGTGCTGCAGCGCATCTCACAGGAAGATGGGCAAGAGGAGGAGCATCCAGAAGCTG